CTGGTGAATTACTATCGTCGTCTTTGACGTCGATCCCATACCGCACCGTCTCACAGACGATGTTTCCATAAAGGCAGTGGGCACTGCTGGAAGGGGGCGGAAGGACACGGAGTCAAGCTGATTCTGTCAGGTAGGGTAGGTAGTAGCCCTCCTTATTATCAAACTTAGGTGCACCGGTTCTCTCGAATACAACAACTATACTACAATTTATCGTCTTTAGCACTCCTTAACACCTCTACGCATACTAGGTTCCACGATAACTAACAATAAGCTCTTGCTTCTAGAAAGGAGGTTCTATGAATCAAATTCAGGTTGCCGACAGACCGTACAATCAATTAATCGATAATCGTTCACAAATCTCTCGGAAATTTTGCTACGTTCGTTCACATCGATGACTCCTGCACCCTCAAGCAACATTCGCTAATAGAGCTCACCTTCTGAGTGCATTTTCCATCGCCAACTTTGATCCGCTCTTCAGATCAATGGTCTCTTCCAAACAGACTCCTCGTGCAATACTCACTTCTGAGAGAACTCGAATTGAACTGAAACCGTGCTCAATAGCTCAACATTGGAGATAATAAAAAAAATAAGGCGCTGTTTGGCTCAGGAGGGGCATCTTGCACTTCAGCTCATCGCTAATTTCTTTGGCTAGTTCCTGTTAAATTACACGCTCTATCTTGGTAAAGCCTGTAAGGTTTGGAAAATGTGGGTCCCCGCTATTGCAAGCTCTACAGGAATTAACAGTTTTTCACAGGAGTCGTCGACAGTGATCAATGGGAACCATCAAACCCCCCCACCAAGCCGAACTGCGCCAAAAATAATATTGACTGATACAGATGGGTAATACGTGAAATTATACTTACTGCTCATGAAGCTCATCATGAAGCACACTAACACAAGTGCTGTTCGTGTGCTGCACAACGCCTATCATTGCGTCAAGGACTGAGGCGATCGATGGCAACGTTCCAGTAGTTAAAGGCTAAAAAGGTCCACTTCACATCAAGAAAGGTAGAGATCAAGGCGTGAGCAACTTTGGGGACACACAAAAGTGTCCTTGTACAAATTGGGCCTACCCTCGAAAAAAGGAGGGGAGGGGGGGGGCGGGCCTTGAACTCGACTTTACACTGGTTTATTTATCCATGAGCTGCTTTCCTCATTGGGCTTGGGAGAACGGTTCGCCTTTGTCCCAGCAATCTCAGCTTTGCACAAATGATCTTTGAATGTTCAACCCCCCCCCCTCGGATCATTAGCCAAAAACAACCCGGCCTTTTCCAGACTTGTGATAAGTTTACCCTTCCATGTGATTTGTAAAAAAAAGCGGTTGAAGCTGTATAAAAGCCTGTCAATTCTCTGTTACAGGGCAAGTGGCACCTGAGGTGGTTGTGGAAAGGAGGAGTAGGGGAAAACAGTAAAACTAAACTGTACCTCTATTCTTCTCACCAGCACCCTCATCGACGTCAACCAAACGCAGCGAAATCAGACCCGCTGAGTGGGCACAAAGAGCAGAAGAGCCGACTCAGCCTACTCCCGATCACCTTTACGCCAGAGATAACGAATTATTAAGAATATTCAGGCGTAATGTATACTAGCTGGGTGGGGAGGGATGAAGGGGTGGCATTCTTCAGTGCCGCTGTGTTCCTCCCCTAAACCAAAGCTCAGGCCGAGTGCAAAGTACGCCTTTTTCGGTAAGACTATCCCAGGCGACTGTGTATCGTCGGCTATGCTCTATGTAGGCCAAAGCGATGCTACGTTGGCGCCATACTTGTACAGCCTAGCATTAACATACCTGCACAGTGGTGGAGAAAAATGTGTTCATAACAGGAAGGTTCAAATGCCTGGCGAGTTGATCTACATTTGGGAGGTAAGCACCGTCGTCACGTACTATCGCTACAACATCTGACCTGAAATACTTCAGGAGGTTGCAGGGAACTCACACCATCCCATTTAGAGCTCTGAACTTTCGGTAGTAGAAGCCTTCGAGCCCAACGTTTGTCATGCCTCGTCTTGTGGGGTATACGACGCATTTATTAGCATGGGTGTGGCAAAAGCGCTGGCGACAAGGCCGAACAGTTTCTCAGCGCAAAATGTTCGACGTTTTCGCGCTTCAGTTTTCTTACTAGTTCTCAAATCCTCCTTATTCGATATGGATCATTCGCATGGATAAAACATAAAAAAATATTCAAAAGGGAAGTGAGAAAAAGCCGTCGCGGCGTTCGAGGCGAAGGTGCCTACTCTACATGGATGCGCCCCATATCCCAGAGAGAAGGGTAATTATATTCCGAATCCAGCCATCAAGCCACACCGCTCAGACTAAGTATAAATTAAAAAATTAACAGGGCTAATTACTCACTTTTGGATATTGGTGCCGGACAACAACTCAAAACAGATCGGCAACAGTTCTCAGGTCAGAGGAGCAACTATCGATTATCACAGCTCCCAGTGACAGGCCAGTATCCTTCAGAACCCGCTGTGAATTCACCTATAAAGAGGAACCGTTCCATAGAAACAATATGGTAAGGAATACGCTGTCAGACCGAAAATGGGGGCTGTTCGGCTTGGGAGGGACACTTTTGTCAGTGCGTTTTGCTAGCCCATGTTAAAGGTTATACTTCGATGAAATTTGTAATTTTCTGTAAAGCTACAGGAATGTTACATGTAGTCACTTTGGTCACAGGAGTTCACAGGTTTTTACAAGGAGGCTTTAACTAGCCTCGCTAAGTACCACTTTTTGCCCATACCAATCCGAACTGCGCCCAAAAATGCTTACAAAGGCTATTTAGAAAGGAAGAAAAAGCGTCGAAGTGCTGGACATACCTTATTAAGTGCATCAAGAAAGGCGCCTAGCCTGAGGAATCCGTTGAGATCCACACGACCACATTCGAATCCCTGCGAGAAAGAGGGGTATAGTGTGGTAACAGCAAAAAGAACAACTGTAAGACAAACAAGAAAAGCTATCGGATCACTATTTCTCCACTGAAATATTCAAGCAACGGCTGCATCCCAAAGTTCTCAGTGAGGAAGAACAAAAAGACGTCTTCATAAGACCCCCCTTGAAACTCATGTTCACGTGGAAGATGCCTCAGATGGGAGAAGGTGGCGACGCCTAGCAAGAATATGGGATCCCGCCGGAGACGTGACGTTAAGGAGGAAAAGTATACAAAAAAACTGGATTTTCAGGTGAAGTATTCAATGAGCGAGCACAAGAACTACCTTTCAGAACTCAAAAAAATTCAGAAATGGATGAAAATTTCAGAGCATCTGGATTGGTAGAATACTTACAGTACCGTCTGAGAGCTTTACCAAAACATCAAGAGTAATGATAACTGAAATCTCAGCATCAGCCAAACAAGTAGGCCAACACACCTGGTTATCAGCCGATTCATGTATGGGAATGATTGCAAGGATGTAGAGGCGTCGACTGGACGGAATTACGAGGATATCATTGAGTAAACGATGGCTGGGTACGGAGACGTGTGCAGCCACACCGGCAGCCGTCTCATTTTTGACAGGGCTGAAAGCGGAAATTGGATATTTTTTATAATAAGTAAGTAAACAACAATGAACCACAATAAGACTGATCTCGGCAATGCTGCATTAAAAGAACAAGTGAAAGCTGCAAAAGCTGCCGAGTTTATCAAGTAGCTCTCCAGCCGACTGGTTATTGGTGGAAGGAAAGACGAAAAATTCCGTGAAAGGAAAGGTTCGTGACCTCGAAAATGTTAGGCAGCGTTCAGACTTCGCGACTGTAGCGTTTCGGTCGCGCGTTGGGCGCGATCGATGTGCATGCTTTCGATTGCATCGATCACGTCGAACGCGCGACCGAAGCACTAGCGTTGCAAAGTCTGGACGCTGCCTTATTGAAAACCAGAGCTGAACTGGGTTGATATGCGAGAGCACTAGTATTTGAAAAAAAAAAACTGAATCAACGGAGTAGGGTAACGGCAAGTGAGGCTAGTGTCAGGATACCCAGACGTTTTCCGCCATTCCACGTAAGCCCCCATTCCTCCGAGGTTTTTGGATAGCAGTCTAGAACCAGTCTAGAGAGTGAAAAATTACCTTCTGTAGACTTTACAACCCCCTCCTCCACCCCTTCCGCCTCGCTTTTACCAAAAGATAAAACCTCTGAAGTAACAGGAACTAAGTACAATAACCAAGCTTCGTTCCGCCTGTTCATCACACGACTCAGGGTACGGGTAGGAGGTTCACCTGCGGCGACGTGAAGAAGAAAATGGCGTGGCCAGCATCTGCGTGACATCTGCGCCAGGACCCAAATAGGGTGACGCGAAAACGCTGAAATATATCGAAGCAGTTAGGGGATGCTAGCTTGCGCGTCTCCTAACGGATCCCCTGGTCTGGATAATAATTCCGTAACAGTCAGTTATTGAGGGTTCCAGTGACCGGTTGACCTAAGACTTAGCACGTCTACCAAAGAGGTCCCTGTCAGAGGTAGTTACACTGTAGTTCTCAGCGGACGGTTGGGCGTGTCGGGCAGTATGAGTGTTCACCGTTGAGGCCGTTTCTCGCCTTCTTGTTGAAACACGCCTGCGATAAAAAGTAGTAGAAAACGAGTAATGCGAAGGATATGATGGAGTATTGTCACTTGCCGCTTCAACAACTGGTAGGGAACGAGTTTGGCACCGCGCCAAACGCAGCCGCACTGACACGCCCAACCGTCCGCAGCGAACTACACTATACTTCATTTCCTTCCCGCCAGTTCGGTGAACATTCACATAATCACAAGTTGGAAGATTCAGCAAACAGAGAAAAGCTCAGCTAATGAATTTCTGGACAATAATTCGAAATTTCAATTTCACTTTGAATTTGAAATTCAATTTTGTGTGCTTACCGTGATGACATCTTACTCATTTTCGGCTTGGGTTTGCTGACGGGAGCCGATAACATCACTTGAGTGGTGGCCTAAACATGAAGGTATTCAACACGCAATAATCCACCGAGTCACAATTTTCACATAATTTTGTATTTGTACTGAATATCAAGGTGCAAGCAGTACCCATAGGGTGCAGATCAGAAGAATCGAGTTGAAGCAACGCACAAACACTGCCTCAGTGCCCATTCTCCAGATCACTCGTTTTTTGCGATACTTCTCCGACAGATCAATTAGGCCGTGGTGCGAAAATGCGCACGCGACAGCATTTGCAAAGTACCACCTGGGGCACCGCTGCGACTTGGACCTTCTGACTCGCACCCACTGCTAGTGGTACCAAATCACGCCTACTCCAACCCGTCTGTCCCTTCAGAACCTCTTTCTCTTCTCAGACTATTCATATTTATCTGTCATACTTATCTTATAAACATATTTTGAACACCGTTCAAAGTCCTCTGTGATCGGGCACAAAATTTCGAAAGCAAAGATTCGAAGGACAAGGGACCTCGTAGAAGACAAGGATTCCCCTTTTCCATGAAGTTAACCACATTTCCTTGAGCTCCTTGAAACAGCAAATAAAAGGAAAGAGGATGTCAATCAGTTGCAAGCGCTAGTCCTCCCTCAGGATACGCATCTTATTTACTTCCAATTAGAATGGGTAGAACACGGACAAGGCCCGGCGTACCTTAGGGAAGCTCCAACGGGGGATCGTATCGGGGGAGGGAGGCGACTTGAAATTGGCCTGAGAAAGTTCTTTGATAGCTGATTTTTCCCGTTTCGTACGTGCCATCTACATCCTTGGAAGAATTCCAATGAGGAAGTCGTACTTGCTCGTCGTTGGGAAGAGAGAGGGGGGGGGTCGTACTTGCACTAGAGAGATTTTCCCGATCATCCCCCCTCCCCCAGTTGCCGCCGCCGCTCCACTATCACCTAACTGGCATTTCTGGCACTGTTGAAAAAAAGTGTTTGTTAGGAGGTGACTTCCCGCGCCCGACGGCAGTTTTCTGAAATTGAACTGTGAAAATTCCTGGAAAACTGGTAAGAGTTGTGACAAATAAGTAAGGAGGTAGTTGGGATGACATAAAGGGGTCGTATCAGATGAGCGAACTCGGGGGGGGGGCGTGTTTTCCGAAAAATTTGCATCAGCGGAAGGACATGCACTGAACTTGTATTGGGCACATGTAAAGCAGCGATTCCATCATTCCAGACAAATCTGATGCCAACTATCTGACTCAGAGCCGTTGAAGAATTTGATCCAGCGACCATGCGTCTAGTGCCGGCGCTCTATTCCACTGACACATCTCTGAGCAAATACGAAAGAATGTAAAAGATCTCACCATTGTTGTTTGAGGAGTGGTAAGAGGTGGAGAATACTGCTGACTGGCAACAATTGGGACGTTTACCACTTCTGATGGCAACCCTTCGGAAGCAGTTAACAGCTCTTCAAAAATTGGGAACGACGGCACAGAATGATCATTAGGAAAAGGTGGTTCAAATAATCCATCAGGTGGCACGAGAGTTGGCGTATATTCTTGGCTAAGCTGCTGATAGGGGTTGTAAGATGGATCATGGGTTGTCCAGCCCAGATTTTGCTGCTGCTGTTGTTGTTCAAGCCGCCTGAGATACTGCGAACGAAAATCCAAAGCCGAGGTAGAGGAACTGAGCAGTAAGAGCAGTACTATCAGGTAGTACATGGACAGCTGTAGCTGAAATGCTGCTTGTAGTTCCAGCAGCGCTGACAATCGGATTTAGGAGGAGGAGCTGAGGTGGGCGCGCTGAGGGAACAGCACGAAAATACCTCGTTCAACACGTGCGCTACGCATTCGGTCTGTGTGTGTTCACCTCATTAGCGGACCAACTTCTCAGGTTCCTCACCGCCGGTCAGAAGCTTTCAAAGGCCGCCACAGTGAGCGCAGTGGAGTGTAAGATGAACGACCGGTGCGTTGCTAAATAGCAAGAGAAACAAGAGCCGAAGTTTCTGGTATTGATTGATACGCCTGGAATAGGCCGTGCACCCTCATGTCATCCATAGTTTAGGAGCGATTCAGACCGTATGTGACCTCTAAGAGAGGGAACGTCGAGATGATGAGAGACGTTGGTCGCCAGCACCTTCTCCTAAAACGCTTTCCCACCATGATTTCACTAGGTTGACAGCAGAATTTCGTCTGCGTACCAACTCCCTTACTGTCAACTTCCCAGAAAGTTCAGATCCTTCTTGTAGCGCCCAATAGGCCCGTTTCGAAGCGTCAAGGAGCGCTATCTACAACGACTTCCGGGGTCAAACAGTGACCAGCCCTCATGCACACTTAGCGCGAGCTGTCTGACCCGGCCGGCTGGTAGAGTCGATTAAACTAAGAATCTCCAGATCTTGCGTCCGAGAAAGGTTCCACATTACTCCAAAGTTCTACCCCAATAAGTACTCAAAATTATTACTCCAAAGAATCTGTCTAGCAATGAAATTCTTTTTGAAAGATGCTCAGTGGAGTCATACGCGGTCAGCGCTGGTCATATCTCATTTCACACTGTCCAGTGTTAGCTTTTCGTGCGACTCCGCGCTTAATTCGTGTAATCCGCTGTTCGGCAGCACGCTGCAACATTATGTGCTGAAGCCGTTGAACAGCTTGTCAAGGGGAAACAAGGTAACTGGGGCACCCTGGTATTCAGGAGAATAGGTATTCGCTTCCAGAAATCAGAACGGAAAACGACAGAAGATCAGCAAGATTCCACCACAGTAGACAGCTGTTAGTTTAATTGGAAATTTTCACAGTTGCACAAAAAACCACCGGAGACTAATTTTGGAAAAAAAAACACAAAATCACTGAAGACTAATTTTGAGAGAAAAACCACAAAATATTAAAGAGGTACCCGAATGACATAGTTGGAGAAACTACTGACAGCATTTAGACTTGTCTTCAGTTTTTGAAACCTTTCTAAAATGAAATTTCGAGGCCTATTTGTATTTACATTCTCAGTATATGGAAAATCTCACTGTAAATATGACCTCTTTTTACGACGAGAATCCCTCCCCCAATCCATATTCACCAAATTTGTTATCTTTACCCCAGAATTTCCTGTCGAATGGTGTCACACCTAAAACGTCCGGAACAAGAAAAAAAAAACACTTCTCCACATATTCCGGAAATTCTTTTTCTCCAATTTCATTCATGCCAATTCCTCAGACCTGGTATCAACGTGAATGCTACCCTCCCCCTGATGTGAATTCCATAAAAATGATGAATACTGTCCGCACCGTACAACACTTCGACCCAATAGGACATAAGTACAGCGCAATACTGAGATTAAAGGAATTATCTGAGCAGAAGACTTTCCAAAGAAAAAAAACCGAGAGCTCAATTTCCTGCTTGGTTCCTATAAGTTAAAAGAGTTAATTTGAATGAAAGGGGCTGGAACGGTCGAAAAAACATGCGTTCAGTTGTGCTCAGTTTCAGCTTGATCCCCTTTCTCAATTCACTAGAGCTATATTCAACATATTCCTATGATATGGTTTTAAGCAGCAGTTTCAACTGAATTTGATAGAGTACTAGCAAAAAAGCACGTGTCTCCATTCAAAGTATTCTATTCGTTTTCACCGATTAGGATCATTGACGAGAGAAATTTCAGCGAA